TGGGGGATAACGAAACTGTTACGCTACGATCCATTATCGCGAAACGCCGGTATAAAGCAGAATTGATGCGAAACACGAGGGAATAGAATTTAAAATGCATGGAGCATGTGATAAGCAAGAAATGCGGCTGGCTGCCCACACACATGTGCTTTCTCTTGAATCTCATTAATGCTTAGATTGGATCAAATCCTGCAGAGGGCGCTAAGGCTCAGGCGTGCAGGGAATATCGTTAAAAGACCGCCCTTCCTGTTCAGTTTAGAGCTTGCTTTCTTGTTTAATACAAGATTTATCCAAACAAACGCATGCACAAAGAGAGGTGGGCAGCAGAAATACAACTGAGCTGGAAGTAAAAACAGGCGTACGATGCTTGTATTCACTGAAAGAGTATGAAAAAAGTCTGTAGTACAACCGGCAATTGCGACTGGCCTTAAGATAAAACCAGGCTTGTGAGGTCATCTTCTCAGCAAAACATCCACTGCCAAATAATGCAGTTAGGAAAGCGCGTAAGCAGTGCATTAGTTGCCAAGAAATTGAGAAATAGTAGATAAAATAATGCATAAAAGGAAGGGAAAAGTAAGACGGAGGGGAAATTTCTGAAGAAGCACGTTTCGTATACATTCCATTTCAGAACAAAATGGCCCGCACATATCTAAATCGATTTACATTATATGTCTCCAGCGGAAAGATCAAAGTAATGTCCGGTAACAAATGAATTTTAGCATGAACCAAATCTGTTGGGATTATTAGGGGAGTGAATGCTGAAAAAATGAAAAAGTTAGGACTTTGAGTGCCCTAAGTGTGATGGCCATTTTCTTTGCATGCATTTCTTAGCATTAATTCTTAGATCCATTACTGGCTACCTTCTCAACATACACATATATATTTGGCGCACCAGAGACCTGCCATCTACTTGCATGCCGGCATCGCTCGGGAAAGGGAGCTATCGACAATCTTGCTAATTGCAGCTGGCATTCGTTACTGCTCAGGCTATTTCTGTTTGCTCCCACCTCCCACAGAAAGTGAAGGTGAAATGTGTAGAAGTTTCATGTACATATATAAACCTTTGCTGAATTATCAAGGCCCTGGCAGTTTTAACAATTCAGCAGAATCAATGCATTCTGTACGGAATAAAATGAGGGGGAGCGGATGAGCACAAGCTGTAGCTTACATCAGCAGCAGGCGCTTCGAAGAACGTTACAACGAATATGCTGGAACATTTCGGAAAAGCTCAAACGACTGGCTGCACATCCGTTAATCGTTAATATGCAAAAAACCGGCAGCTTGTACCTCTCTTCATCCCCTCAGGTTGTTGTTCCTTTACACTGCTTATCCTTCTCGCACTCAGTGGATTTCTCGTTTGTATTACGAACAACTGACAAAAGTTTGCCGTGCAGTCAGGACTGCCTGGGTGTGTGTGTGTGTTCTGCTTCCCAAGTTTTTGCCTTTTAATATTTGAAAGCCAGCATAGCACAAAACGGCTGTACTTCGCAGCAGAGACTCAGTGGATTTGAAAAAACTTTCGACCAGACGATAATATATTTGTTTTTTTAAGCTTTTGC